CCTCACTGTGACCCAAAAATAACTAATTAAAACGATAACAGGGCAGAGCCACAGGAGCCCGGGGCAGAGCCACAGGAGCCCGGGGCAGAGCCACAGGAGCCCGGGGCAGCGCTCCGGGGCACTGGCCCTCCTGCAGCTCTCCACAGCCCCTGGGAACAACCTGGCCCCTCGTGCCGAGCAAAACCCCTCGGTGCAAGGGATGCTGTGTGCGGGCTCCGCATCGCCCAGGGCTGCAGCGCTGCTCATCACCTCCCCACCTTCCTCCCCCCAGCACAGAGGGGCACCTGGATGCTGGAGGTGGGAAGGCAAGGCAAAGCAGAAAGCCCCTGCGGGGAAAGGAGGCAGAGCAGGAGCCATCGCCGCTGGCAGCAGAGAGCTCGAAACAAAAAGTACAATCGTTCCATCAGGCTAAATTTGGAGCGCGAGTCCCTCCCTCCGCACTCTGCGGAGCCCAGCCAGGGCGAGTCGCACAGCGCTGGAGCGGCCCCAAGGCTGGCACTGGCGCAGACACGGGCAAGCAACAGGCCCGGGGCCCCGCTGGGCCAGCAGTGAAAGCCCCCTCTTGCACACCCCCCCGCAGCGGTCCTGCCAACGGCTTGCGAGGGCAGCAGAGCGGTGACAGTCTGGCTCCTGCCATGAGGCTTGGAAGGGCTGGCGAGCTATCCGGGCAGGGATGGGCAGGGGCAGGGTGGGGGCAGAGCAGCTTCCCGCACCCCCAGAGAGCAGCCCTGGTTGCGTCTCACGCAGAGCAGCACTGGAGGCCAGACCCTGCGCCCCCCTCCCAGCGAGCACCCGAGCTCCTCGCTGGAGCACAGAGCTCTCACCAGTGCTATCAGCACCGCTGGGACACGTCAGCCTCCCGGCTTTCTCCGAGAGGAGCTAAACGTCGATGGGAGGTCGATCACCCTGCTCTGCCTGCCTTCCCTCCACACCTGCCCCACCAGACCTCCCTGCCTCCTGGCAGGAGATGTGTTTTATACTGCGGCACAGCCCCTGCAAGGCACGTGGCCGGCTGACGGTGGAGAGCACCGGGACGTCGCTGCTCCGGGAGGCGGAATCGCTCCAGCCTGGCTCGTTCCCAAGCGCTGCTCGCCCTGCAGCACAGCGGCTGCCAGCACGGTCCTGGTTATCAGAGGGTGCTTGCCACCGCTGGACGCCAGGTCCTGGCTCCAGCAGGAAAGGCAAGACCAGGACAAGCGTGGTCTCTGCCCAGGAGCTATTGCTCTGCGGGGCTGTTGAGAGATCATTCCCTGGGCAAGGAAATGCAGCTACTCAGCCCCAACCAGGAGCGAGGGGAAGAAGCAGAGAGAGCAGGAGGAAGCTCACTGAGCCCAGCAGCACTCGTTCCCTGGGCTCTCTGGTCCCCTGGGCTCTCGCAGCCCCCACCGTGCCAGCACTGGTACCCTGGGCCAGCATCCACTGCTGCTGACTCCCACCACCAGCCAGGACCCAGCTTGCTGTCCTCAGTCCAACAGAGACTCAGAGAGGGATGAGCTCTGCCCCGGGAGCCTCCCCTCCTGCTCCAGGCCAGGCTCCCCCAGCTTCCCCAGCGCGTGCCCAGCTCCGACAGCACACTGCAAGCCCTGCAGGTAGGCAGCAAGGCTTGGCTGACAGGAGCCATGGGAGAAGGCATGTGCCTAGCCATGCTGGCACTGAAGGGACACTGGGGACAGGCTGCTGAGGACGCCTCCCACCACCCTTCAGGGCCATGCAAGCTGATTTATAAAAGGAAAGTTACTCCCACAGGGTTCTCTGCACGCAGCAGAGGGGCTCGTGGGCTCTCCTGTCCGAGCGCTGCTCTGCTGAGCTTGCCGAGCCGACAGACCCCATGCAGCCCAGCAAGTGCCTCCCCATGCTCAGGGTCTCCCAGGTGAGACCAGCAGGAGAGCCGGGCGAGACCTCCACCACCATAGCCCCCGGCTCTCACCTGGTACAGGAATCTTTGGCTGAACTGCTGCATGGCTCCTTGGAGCTGGTTTCGCTGAGACTGCCACTGTTCATAGTTCCTGACATACTCAGCCGTGGGGCGCTGCCACGTGGTGGTCCGGGTGTTGTGGTCCACGTAGTAATACCTGCCTCGAGGATCCACACGCTTCTCCCACCTGGAAACACCAGAGGAAGACATCATCGTCCATCCTCAGACAGCTCAGCGGGTCCTCCTGGCAGATGCCTCCAGCTGCCATGCGGCAACTCAATACCAATGCTGGTGCGAAGGCAGCAGAAAGAAACCCCGGAGAGACTGGGAGGCACAGCAGAAGGCACACACCATGGTCCTACACCAAGGAACCTCCCATTGCCCTCGCCCAGGGGCTGCCTCCGGGGTCTGGATGTGCAGCAGCAGCTTGAGAACATCCAGCTGCTGCCCCGGAATGTGTTGGAAGGGTGACTGAGAGGAACACTGGGTTGTCAGCCACATCCCCAGCTGCCACGCTCCTCCTGTGCTCCCCACATAGAGGCTCAGCAGAGGATTTGTGGTCAAGTTCTGCCCCTCAAAAATGCAGGTGAGAAAAGCAGCTCATAGTCCTCTGAGGGAGAAAAAGCTGAGAGCTGCCGGGGCCCAAGGGTCCAGCTATGACAACCGTGATTTTTCGTTTCACTCTGACACTACAGGCTGGCTTCAGACACTCGCCCTCTGGCTCCTCTCCCAAGACTAAGATACCCTTTAACACGAGGGCTCCATTCCCAGCTCTGGCATCACCACCCGTTTCACAGCTGAAGGGGCTCTTTTGGACAAAGATCCACCAACAGAAACACAACAGACTAGCAAGACTCGAAGCACCTCCCTGCAAGGGCACAAGGGATGCCCGAACACTAGCAGAGTTCCCAATGGGATGCCGCAGGCATTCCTCCGAGACAGCTGACCTCCGACAGAGGCCAAGGCACTGGGCTGGAGACTGGCACGGGGGATGAGGAGCACCCCGGGGTGCTCCAAACCTACTTATCCAGGTAACAGCCTCCCTCTTTTAACACCAGACAGATTTCAAGCTGTTGTAGGATCAGAAAGCGGCTGCAGAGATCACAGCTTAACTGAAGGCAGCGCATGCCCACAGGAACCTGGAGGCTCCCGCCGAGGAAAACAGGGCGGGTTTGTATTTCACACATTACGCTGGCAGTTAAAGCGCACTTCAGTCATCCCAGCCTTGAACAAACCCAGTCTAGAGAACAACAACAGTTTGCCTGTACTGACTTCCCTGCTTTCAGGAGCACAAAGAGGTGGGAATTCAACAAGCTTCTGGAAAGCACGCGGCCCCTGGGGCCGTGCACAGCCTTTATGGCCTGAAGGCTGTTTATTCCTGCAGATGGAAGCATGGCCCTCCTGGACGCTTCCTGCAGGTCGCACAGAACTGAGCAGCAGCACCTTCTCGAGCACAAGCAGACCCCACTGTGGCTGAGAACGTGAGGCCCCTCAGAGAGAGTCCAGGGTGCAGCTCCAGGTTTGGGGCACGCTGAATGTGCCTGTTTCTGCTCACCAGGAGCTTGGTCCTCATCTAGAAGCATCTGGTTTTCCAGGTGACATGACCCCTCCCTTCTCCTGGTTCTTGGGGGGACTTTGCTGGCACTCTGACCCAAAGGCCCACCCCTCCGCTCTGCCCACAAGTGGTTGTGCTGCTGCTCGAGTGTTCAGTGATTTCCATGGACTGTTTAAAAAAAATAAATTCCTCTAACAGAGGTCAAAACGCAACAGAAGGGAAAGCTTTTCCCTTTTTAGAAATGCTGAAGAGACCTTTCTGAGGATACAGGCTGTGCTTTCAGGCCAGCGAACACTTGGTCAACTCACCCCATTTCTTTTTAGGAATGAAAAGACCTTCCTGCTACCAATCCACTTCTCCCCTTTTGTGCAGCCTCCCGTGCATCTGCTACAAGAAGTTAGTGCGGTGCATGAGATGCTAGCGGCCCTCAGGGCCCCTTACCCTGGAGGAAGGGGTCTCTCCCACGTGGTGGTCTTGTTGTTATGGTCTACATAGTAGACTCTACCGTTAGGCAGCTCTCGCTGTTCCCACCTGCAAGGGGAAAAAAAAAAATAAATCATGAGACAGTTGATCCTTGCTAGCACAGAGACCAAACCCTGGCTGAGGTGGAGCTACCAAAGGCAACTGCCCTCGGCGATGCCAGCCAGAGCAGTGTGCCTGCCGCTGCGGGGCTGCTGGGCGCCTGCCGCGCCAGGGCCACCGGCACCCCGCGGGGGGGGCACACAGAGGAAAACCGAGGCAGGCGAGACGGATCCTGTCCTCTCCTCAAACACAGAGGTGAAGCGAAGGGGTTCAGCTGGAACACGCAGCGTGGATCCAGCAGCCTCGGCCCCTGCGCCTGGAGGGCAGCGGGAGCCGGAGCCTTGCTACACGTCAGACCAAGCGGCTTCGCAGGCTCCTTCGTCTACTTTAAGTCATGCCCGAACAGCCTCCCTAGGAAAACCGTTTGCATGCGTGCCCAGAGACTCGGACTGCAGCCGTGCAGCCAAGCCTCCCCCACGGATCAGCGAGCTGTGAATAATTAATCATCACCTTATTACCAAGAATGTCCAGGGAGCTGCATCTGGTGGATTAGCAAGCCCACCTCCTCACATTGCTTAGCTATGGCGTGCTAACCTTTATTTAAAGTAAAGAATGGCAGCAGGTCTGCATGGCAGTTGGGTGGCTTGCTAGATCAAGACGATCAGAGACGTGCTACAGCAGCCTGCTTTCTGAAAACAGGCCTAATTTGGAGCAAAAATTCCCAATTTCCTCCAGAAAGTAGGAGGGTTGGCATAAGATTTCACACAGGGTCAGTTTTACGTCCTGTGAGTTTTTGGATGTAGTTTTTGTTTGGTTTCTCTTAATACGCCTTTAAAGGGGAGCCTTTGAGTTTGGGCTGGGGCTGAGTTTTCTCCTTGGCAGCCCTCCTGCCCACTGCCGACAGACGCCGCTTAAAACCATTGCGTGGGCACGGGCGCTGGGTTCGGAGGTGGTCTCTGAGGGGAGCCGGTGCAATAGGGAGGCCTGGCTTTGTGTGGCTACACTGAAAACCATTCTTTGCCTTCATTCATTCATGAAAGTTTATGCCCTGGCAGAGGTAGAAGCTCCGAGGAGCACCGTGCTTTCCCGTCAGCTTTTATTCTGCAACAGAGAGAGGCGAGCGGGCAGCTGCTGACAGATAAAGTGTTCTCCTGCCACACGTCTGCTCCCACAGGTCTCCCTCCCGATTCAATCTTCAGCCTCAATTAATCATCACAAAAAGCCCTAGGAAATTAATATGCCAGCTTCTGTTGTGACAGCAAGGGAACAAATCTGGGCTTGCAGAAAGCAAGAAGCGCTTAAGAAGGGGACGCGCTGAGTGCCGATGCTCCATCGCCCCAGCTCACACTGTCCCTGCTCATCCTCAAACCTCCCCTGGGGACAGTGAAGCCACCAAATGGTGACCTCAGCCACAGCCACAGGTCGGCTGCAACCACAGGTCATGTGCGTTACAGCCTCAAGACCACTCTTGAAAGAGGTGGGAAGGCAGAAACGGGGAGAGCTTCAGCCACCGCGCCAAGCCCTGGCAGGGTGCCGTCAGCCGGGGAACCCAGCAGTCCTGCAGCCACGCGGGCAGCCTGGAAATCCTCTGCCCTGGGCGGAAGGCAATCCTGCACTCCATGATCAGAGCCAGTTCCCCAAAAGCAGGAGGGGAACGTGAATGCCAGGCTCGGGATTTAGCAGAGAGATTGTCTGACCCAAACCAGAGCTGTCGGCTTCACTCCTATGGGCTTCTCGGAGGCAGTGTCAACTTAACGCGTATGCAGAGGCCAGGTAACTGCAGATAAAAGCTACCAGTCAGCAGCACCGGCTCTTCCTCATCCCTAGAACGGATCTGGGGACACCAGTGGTTATCTCTGATGGAAGGAGTCCAAGGCAGAACCTAGAGCGCCGGTGCATCTTTGACAGTGGGGGGCTGCCCAGCACAATAGCATCCAAAGGAATGACCAGGTGAGAGCAGAGCCGGCACTACCCAGTGCTGTTCTGGCATCAGAAAGTCTTCGTCTGTCCGCCAGCAGTCAGGCCTGAGGTTCCTGGGTTACCCCTGGGCAGCGTTGGGCGTTGTCAGAGGGGAAACGCCCGGAGTTTCCTGTTCACTAGCGATGAACTCAGTGCTTCGTGAGAACAAAACCACCAGGACAGCTAAAAGACTGACATTCCTAAAGAGAAAATCAGCATAGCTGGGATTTCTTGAAGACACAAGCATGAGATGGATGGCAGAAGGTCCCCAGGCACCTTCAGGGAGAAGGCAGGGCTGTGGAGGTGCCGCGGGCTGGAGAGCTGCCCACTGCCCGCGCTTGGGATCACCACCAGCAATCAGATACGGATCGGGCACAAGGCTCAGGTGGAGGAACTCTGTTTGCAAACCAAACTCCAAGGCACAACTCCGCTCAGGAGACTTTGCAGGAGTCGGCATCCTGCGAAAACGCTTTAAGCATCATCTTTCTGAGGTCAGTTGTACACAGCAGCCTCCCTTGGGCGGATCTAGAGAGCGCAGCACCACTTGCTTATGGGGAGGAGAACCCCAGCCACTCGTCCACGCTGGCACGCGGTGCTTCAGAGATGAACCTCAGCCTCGCGTGCGCAGAACCAGCGGTGCCAGCAGCCGTTACTGGAGGGGACTGGTCCTCCAGACCCATTAACAACAGGTTCTCTGGTCAATATGGCTCCAAGGGCTTGGAAGTACTTTATGATAAAAGGCTCTCAAGCCCCTGGGTACCATTTCCGTGGCTGTAGAGACCAGAAATCCCATGATGAGAACTCCTCGAGGGCAGGGGGTTTCTGGATCCCTCAGATGCTCCTCCAGGTGCCCTCGTGACTGCGAAGAGCCACGCAGGGCTGGGGAGAGCTGCTGCTGGCAGCAGATTTATGGCCACTGTCCCCGTCTCACACCCTATACAAACAGGTTACAAGCTCACGTGCTCCTCAGGTCAGCAGCTCCCTTGCAATAGGAAAGGGGAATTTGCCAAGGGCTGCCTCGCCCTACAAACAGCAAACCACCACCGTTAAACAGCAAGCTGCAACGAACTGTTATTATGGCACAGCAATGGCCTCAGAACGAGGGGCACGGGGGGCTCGGACCACCTTGCCCAGCTCTTCACAGGCTTTTTGAGCTTCCCTGCATCCCGCCTGCCGTCCCGCAAGGGACAGCTCAGGGAGAGGCACGACAACGGGCCCTTCCTCTGGGGAGCCTCCGTCCGGTTCCTCCCCCGTGCCTGCTGCCACCAGCAAGGAAGAGCAGTGACTTGGCAAGCACTAGGTGGTGGGAGCCCTCACCCACGTGCGCCACTGCTGCAAGCACAAAGCGCGCGACACGCCGGCCCCTGCTAGCTCCCCTCCGACTGCCCGCAGGGCTTGCAACAGCAGCGGATACAGGGAGCCACGGACGGCGTGAAGTGGCAGTGCTGAAGCAACCCTTCAGTCCAAACAAAACGCCCTCCTTATGTAAGAAACCACAGCCCCACGCCTTCTGCCAGGCAGCATAATGTACCTCTTTGTACGGGCGAGACAGCGCCGTGTACACACACCGCGCTAACGACCGTCTGTCCCCCGCGCAGTATCATCTCTGATAGGAACCAGATGCAGGAGCCAGCAGCTCTTGTGCCCTCCCCCCCCTTTTGCTCGGAAACCCCTACGTGAGAACCAGGACCCCGCGCCGATGGGCTCGAGAGCCATGACTGGCTGCTGCTGGGCCACACACACTCCCCGGCTTCACGAGGAAGCACGTCCTGCCCGAGCCAGGAAGATGTGAAGGAGGTTCTAGGCACTGTGGGGCTGGAATTATTCAGAACACCTTCCAGCACCCTCCGGCCCCTAGAACAGACTCCTGGTTGTGTGAGAGATGCCTTTGTGCCTGCTACATCTGGTGCAGATGTTGAGACGCAGCTATCTGAGCAGAATAAATAGCTCTGAATCCCCACGTGAACCCAGCCGCTCTCGACTCCATCCACACGCAGCCCAGCGCGAGCAGGGAGGCTGGGGCTCCGCACACCCACCAGCAGCTGAAGGGAAGCCGAGCACGAGTGCTCTCCACGCTCCCATGGATGAAAAGAGACTCCTGGAGAACGCAGCAGGGCTCCCGCAGAAAGCGGGAGGGACAAGACGGCTTTCCAGCTCTTCAGTGCCAGGGCGACCAGCAGCTCTGCAGGGGACGTCGCTCCTGCGAGCGGCAAAGCCAGAGCGATGGCTCAGGGGCTCTGCGGCGTGCTCTGCACAGCCACCCCTGCAGGAGCCAGGCCGGCGAGGGGCTGTCCTGCACTGCTTTCTGCAGAGCATACTGCCGCCCGAGCTGAAGCGCCCTGGGTTTGTCTGCATCCCTTTTGCCCGAGGCATCGCTGCCTCCACCAGCCCAGCCAGCCGCATCCCCATCTCCCAAGCTGGGCCCCAAACCACTCGTCAAAGCGATACCCTGGTGTGGCGAGCTGGCCAAAAAATCAGCTGCCCTAGATCAGGTCTCAAGAGATCCCCAGAAGCTCAGTTCTACCCGACCAAGGCCACAGTGTTTTGTGCAATCCCTGTTTAGCAAATTCTTGTTTGGGCAAATCCCTGTTAGCCCAGAACCTGGTCTGGCCGCTCTCAGGGCAGGGCTCACATGACGGGGACATCAATGGACGCGATTCTCCGCCCTCCTTCACCTGGGAAGACCTTGGCACTTGGTCTCCACCTGACCAAGCAGGTCAAGCACTACCCAGGCCAGCCCAGCACGAGCGTGTATCTCGGACGGCACATGCAAGAGGGTCACTGCCCTCTCTATCCCCTACAGACCCTACGGTCAGGACAGGGAGGGACAGATACACGAGGTGCTAATCAGAGGTGTCCCCAGAGATCCAAATTCCACAAGCTCAGCCTGGAGGACAGCTCGCTACCCCTTCCACTGCTCTTTTCCAGCCGCCTCCCAAAGCGCGACGGTTTTATCCTCCTCCCCGCTCCGACACGCACGATCTTCTGGTGTGCGAGCACCGCAGGGGGACAGGCACAGGGAGGACAGATGCAAGCCTGGTGTGTCTCAGAAAGCAGGGCTTGCAACTGCCCCGAGCCTCCGGAAACCCTAATCGTGAGATACCCGTGGGCTCCTCTCTGCCCCAGGAAAGGAACAACAGCCTGTTTCCACCTGGGGCCGTGCAGAGGTGGGGAAAAGGAGACCTTCAGTCTACCTGGTAGGAGCAGAAAGAGGCATCAGCTCTGGCTGGAATAAAGACCTTTTTCAGAGCACTGGACTTTTCCAGCTGCCTGGAAACAGGAAGCGCCCAGGCCGGAGAACAGAAACCCTCACACACCCGGCATAAAGGCACACTGAGCCGTTAACCCTAATTACCTGTGACTGACACACGAGCGAGGCCCTGACCTTCCAGGCATCGCCTCAGCCAAAGGAAAATAAACAGCTCCCTTCATACGAAACACAAGCCATTTTCAATCCCCCCACCCTCGCCGCTTCGCGTTTTCAGTCCAGAATTAAAGGTGTCTGAAATACAAGGGGAGAAGGAACCAGCTGCAGCAGGAAGGGGGGCTGAGCCCAGAGCCCGCCCGCCGCCTCTCCCAGGAGCCAGCGAGCCCACCAGCACAGCTCAGCCAGCCCCAGCTCTCCTCCCAGCCCTTTCCCCACATCCCACGGGGGAGGAGGATGTGGAGCATCCACACCAGGGAGAGGAACAGGCACAGCCATGAGAGGGTCCTGCCCACCTCCCCCCAGCAGTGGCCGATACCTCCCCGGTGTCTCCAGAGCGCCCATTCGTGCCCTCCGGCTCAGAGGGAGCTCCCCGGAAACCCACGCTCACGCTCTCAGGCATTCTCCTCCGACTGATCCCTTCGGCGGCCCCAGAAGGGGAGAGGACCCTGCTGCTCCCCTGGGCACGGACACCAAGAGGGTGCTGGCCGCAGAGACGCAGTGCACTGCTTCTTACCCCAGCGACCCAGAGCGGACACGGATCAGACCCCAGAGGAGGAGAGAGGAGCCCCCAGCGCAGTCACAGACCAGACAGCTCAGACAAGGGACGACAGGCTATGCCAGGGACGCAGGGGCACAGGGATCCCCGAAAGGCACTGCCAGGCCCCCTCCGCTCTGCTGAGCGCCAACACTTCCACCGACTCCTGGTGCAGCACAGCCCCCCCCCTCATCCTCCTCTTCCAGCAGGCAGCAGTGCCCCGGTTTGCCCGTGTCCCCCAGCCATCCTTCCAGGGCCATGCCTCCCTCCCCAAGGGCCACAGGCACTCCATCATGCCGGCCCTCTCAGGGGAAGGAACGTCTCAAGCAGAAGGCAGAGCTTACCCGGGGGGCAGAGCATCCAGGGCTAGCACCGCTGCCCGGGCCGGCGGGGCG